TGCATTGTATGAGCAAGGAATTAGTTAATTAGAGGAACTGAAATAAATTAATGATATGTTTGATTAATGAGAATAGGAATTTGAAATTAGAATTAGACCAAATTTTTTATTTAGATACATAAAAAATTTTAAATTCAGATTTAATTCGAATTGAAATCCTTTGCAAATCATAATTTTTTTATAATTTAAAATTTTCTCCATATTATAATCATTTAAAATTGTAATCATTTTAAACATTTTGTTTCCTTTACACTTGCAATGTATAATTCAATAAACTATCATTTCCTGTTTTTTCACTGACATTTGAGTTCTACTTGCAAAAGTAACAACTTCAGCTTCAAGGCAATTATATACAGCTGCACTTTGATCAGCATTCACAAATTACAAGGCCTTCCTTGTGTCGCATGGAAATAATTTTAATTTACTCTATAACAGATTGAATGTGTAAAATCATGAACACAAAAAAAAAATGGAGAAACTTAACTATAAGTCAAATGGAACGTGAAAGATGATTTTTGGAATTTAATAATTCTGGTGAAGAAAGAAAGAAAAATATACACTTCTAAAGACAACCTAATATATTAGTGATCATCTTAAAAACACTAAAAATCTCAAGACTTACAGTAGGTCATATGATGCAAATCTATGTAGCCAAATTACCAACAGACAACATGTGTCATTGAATATGAGTAAATTATTCAATAATTTTATAGTATCTGGTGGTATTAATATACTGATGTCACATACATACATACATACATACATACATACATATATGGAGCATTAAGAACGGATTAGATACATCATATTGTAAAAAAAACAGAGAGAGTTGTTGAATATAATGAAATGATATTCCAGAAAAGAACATAAACAAAGCAAATACAACTAGGCAGTGAAAGAGCTTTGGAGTATTTCATCTAACGGTGCACCAACTCCGCAATGCTTGGCTTCTGTCGCATTGCCATTGGCAGTGTTTTTTTCTATAATGTGTCCCTGCAAATAGAAACAATGCCCTATAAGTAAACAATTTGAAGGATATATACATCACCGTGAAATTGAAAGGAAACGTAGGGGGAAAAAAGAGTGAGAAAAATGAATAGTTAAATAAGAAATGCCTAGATAGGCAATCTTCTCCCACTTGGCTATCTTATCTAATTCAATTAATAAAAGAAATTGTTCTCAGTTAACAAATAACAGGCGTGCCAGAGATATTGAGCTTCAATTGATAACAAAATAGTCCCGAACTCCCTTATTACAGTTCAGTTGAATGTAAAAAATATATAAAGCTTTGATAGAATAAGTGTTTTGATTTTTATTAAAATGCGAAAAGGTTACAAATCTTGATTGAAAGTAAAAACTAACTGATAAAAGTAAAAGCTAAAAGTGTAAAATGTGAGTCTTTAATTGAGTGTTGACTGTCTCTCTTCTATATCTTCATCTTCTATTTATAATGTCAGGATGGTGGTAGCCTCTCTATTAAGACCTAGAATGTTTTGTCGAAGAATCGAAGATCCTGCAAAACTCATGATACGGTCTTTACTCAGTGTTCTTCACTTTGGGTAATTATCCCGTCTCATCGAAATACTTGAGCACAATATTCGTAAATTCCAAAATCACTCGAGATCGTGTATTCATGTGCCAATGGTCCAGTGTTCATAATTGGTGGAATTTTAGCATATTCATTCTATCATGGCTTTCGATTGAGTTCAGGGCCAGCCCATTTGTTTAAATTGGGTCTTACTCTTCAGTTACTTAGCCAAATAGTTTTATAATCTATTTGCGCGATGTTTCATATTTTAACACAAATAAAAATATTTATCAACAAAACATGTAGAGGAATAATAGAAAAAAAGGACAGTAATAGAGAAGTCATGTGATGGGTAGTAGGAAGAGGTAAGGTAAGGAAGCAGGGGAAAATATCAAGTGCATGGCTGCCAAAATGCAACTTGAAAATTGCATAAAATTCTAATTAATCCATGTGCAGCTTGAAAAACAATTAGATAACCACAAAATTGAATAAGGTGTCAGCATATAACAAAACAACCACTAATAGTTCCAGTTAATCCATGTGTAACTTGAAAATTGCATTTAATGCTGGGATTCAAACTCATTAGAGACAATGAAGAAGAAGAAGAATGCGAGATAAAGTGAAATTAAAACCGAAACTGAAATTCAAACCCATTATTTTGATTGCGGCTGATTTTTATGCTCTTCGTAAAATAAGGTTGTTATAGCTAACATTACCAATACAGCCACAATAATGCTTAGCGACAACAATGTTTTTCAAGTATAAATGTAAAAAGAAATGCATCAAGAAGGGGGGGATACCAGGGTCAACACCTCTTTCTTTACCATAATCAACAACAAAACCATGATGTGAATCTAGGGTTGCTCCACCAACTTCTCCAAAGGAGTTTGCAGAATAATCTAATTAATTAATTGACATCAAGAATGAAATTTTTAATAGAGGATGTTAAGCTTCTTCTAGCAAACATAAAAAAAGTTCTTTCACCTTTAGATACAGGGCGAATAAAACCTCCATAAGCTTGTCAAGCACTGTTTCAAGGCCAAAATCATCAAGTACGGTACTGTATTAATTCATTGTGTAAGGATGCATTATTCGAAATTTTGTTTCATTCACCCACTTCTAAAAAATTTCAATCCAAAGAGACAAAGACAATTAAACACATCCAACTAACATCTACAAGGATATGCATGTGAAAATTTAAAATTAAAAGAAGAATATGACTGCTTATACCACTTCTAAGTGATAGTCAAAATGATAAAGTACCTCAAATAATGATAACTCAGAGAAGCGAGGCTGAAGCATTTCAAACGTGAAAATTCTCAGAATAGGTTCAGACACTCTACTTCTAAAGCTTGGCTATGTATTATCACTAAATAGTAAATACTTTCAAAAATGCTTGGATGAAGAACACTGCAGAGTTCAAAGTGTATAGCTCATGGTGTAAAAGCTGCACAATGTCATAGAAAACTAGCAACTCTTACTTAGAAATAACAAAATACAGGAGATAGTGTAAGATAGTCATCATATATCAGCATATCTGAAATATAAACATAAACCATATGTTCAAAGAGTCTTCTGCTTCAAATAAAGTTATAGTATTGCAACAGCAACATAATGCATGTTTAGAGATAAATCACATCTAAGGAGATATAAAGTTCTTCTCCCAGGTAAATTGCATAATAAAAACTTTAAATTTGAACTTTTCCCTCCAGGTTTACATGTTGACTTACAATGTAATCCTTTTGCACTTCAAATGTTCCTTGCTCGCTGTTTCAGCAACCTTTTTACTCAAATCTCTCCCAACTTTTGCAATCCAATTTAATATTGATCTTTTTATTTTTTATAAATACTATTTGATTGTACTTTCAAGTCTTGACGGTTTATAGCTAATGTTAATTTTTTTATAATTTTTTATTTTGATGAATATAATATTAAAAATAAAGATAATATTTCTAGCACTTTTCAAAAAATATTTTTTAAAAAATTATTATTTAAAAATTTTAAATATGAATTAAAATCAAATTTAAACTATCCAAAACACACTTAAATAATTAATTTATAAAAAATAAAAAATTAATATTAAATTAAATCATTTAACTAAATCTGTATTGTCTAAGTTAATTATTAATAGATTTATTAAAAATATTATATTTTTATAAATTTTTATTTTAAATAAAATGTAATTGGGTGTTTGTAAATGAAAGATTTTTTTATATATCTATTTTTTATTAATCATTAAATAAAAATTTATGATTAAGATTTTTTTTTCTTCTTACGACACAGTTTTCACGGCACATGATTCGTATCCATCGAACGATGGTAATAAGCCAGAAATGAGAATACAGGGCCAACTCCCTTGGATGGTTTCAATGAGAGGACCGCCATCCAAGTCATTGCTTTTCCATGGCATTAATTATCTATTCTGGATGCTTCCGTTGGAAGCGTCGGCTTTCACCACCTGCTTCCGTATCCTCAACTAACAATCATCACCGGTTTCCGTGACAGGCACCTCCCACCCACGTCATGTATGTCATGTGTCTATCCCTATTTGCCTGCCTGGCGCCCTCTTGTTTAATTAATTTCTCACTCAAACTTTACTAAAAGCTACTACTCCGTTTTTATTTTTTTAAAAAATTATTACTTATTTATTTATTTTTTTATATAAATAAAATTACATATTTCAATAAACAGCTATTACACATTTACTAAATCATCTTTCATAATTTATATTAATAAAAAATAATTAATAAATATTTATATTGATTAATATAAAACGTTTTAATTCAATTTTTTTATTTTTAAATATAATTATTATAATTAATTAATTTTTTTAAATTGTATAATATAATTTTTTTTATATATAAAAATGGAGAGAGTACTCTAGAAAAACAATGAAATTAATGAATATTATAATGTACTCTCAACCCAACCGGAATAATAATAATACTGATGGGCTATCTTCCGCGCCAGATCCAGATCCCTCATGGTCTCCCATCCCCACAAGGTTCAACGCCTGAGGATTTACCCAATCTATAAGCAAATGCCACTAATCAAATATTTGAGACTGTTTCCACTAATCCCTGTAGCGGGCATCTCCCACCTTTAACTCAGCTTAATTTCATGCTTTACCCATCAATCATTGAAGCCATTTAACTTTGAAAAGTTGCATCACAACCTTTTTAAGTCCCACCCAACAAAAAAATTAAAAAAAAGGACAATCTTCAAGAGAAACTATAACGGAGATTTCCCAGGCGGCATTGGCGTCTCAAGACTCAGCTTATACACCTGCTGCAGCTCCACGACCTCAATCACAAGATTGTTGCCGCTTGCCACTCTATTGTTTTTTTCATCCCCGTTTTCTAAAAATTATGCCTCTCTGATCAAACATGAAGACACGAAATCGACCAATTTCTCCAACCACATATACCTCGTTCATTAAATTTTAAAAAAAAAAATTGAACAGTTGTCTTGCTTCACAAGAACATCATACATTCATTGATTTTAGAAAGACATGAGACTATTTTTCTGTTTAAAAGAAAAACCCTCATTCATGAGAGGCCGAGAGGACTTGCTTAAACATCATGTATTATTATCATTATCATCTTCCCAGCCCGAAAAATACCCCCGCCTAAAGCTGCAATGCTTGGTTGACCCACAACGGCAGGGGTGCAAGGAGAACAATCCGGTTACCAATAACAGGATGCTCAAAACACATGCTTTCTGCATGAAGTTGATGGGCATCATAAGTTTTGTCCTGCCACTCATGGACTCCCTCGTATTTCACATCCCCTTTTATAGAAATTCCAAGATATTGGCAGTGCAGGCGGATCTGATGAGTCCTTCCGCTTCGAGGATATGCTCTCACCAATATCTCATCTTCCATAACATCTTTTCTGTCAGCTCTTTGTTCCACAACCATAATAGATCCTTCATCGTTTGAAAATTCACAGGCCTCCTTGAAACTCCCTTTTCCATTTATTGATAATACTTCGAATGAAGTTTCCATATCTCGGACTACTGACCCACCTGGCAACGTCCGACCAACATCTGATGCAGCATACACCCGCCAGGCACCGAACTTGGACCTGCCGTGACCTGATCTTACAGTGATCTTTCTCCAATGTGGGGCTGAACCAACGCAGAGGGCAATATATGTTTTCCTGACCTTGTGATCAGTGAATGCTTTGACTAGTTTAGCGGCCACCTTGTGGGACTTTGTTATGACCATGACACCACTTGTGTCACGGTCAAGTCGATTAGCAAGATGAAGCTCTGGCTCTGGCAAGCTGCTTTTAATTCCTGAATCGAAAATAACTGCCCTCAGTGCCATACTAAAGAAGAACTACGCGCTTCAAACTTGAAGTGTTAATATGATATGATTTGACGAGCCAAGCCAGCCCTTCAACTAGTTTCATAAGTTAACTCTAGAGCGATATCAAACACCTGTACATTAACCAAAGCCTACCTGGAAATTGCATTCCGAGTTTCCTCACAGGTTCAACTAATAGAGGTCCTGTAGGTGGACGAGAGAGAGAGAGAGGAGAAACTAATCCTGGTGCTTTGCTTTTAAAAGCAGTAGTAATTCAGCTGAGTGGTAACAATTGTCATGAAAATCGTTCGTATAAAAAGGAACCGCTCAAGGCATTGTAATGCATTATTTTCATATTTACTCATGATTTTTACTCATTCCGATGTTTTTAAAAGAAGTCGTTCATAAACAGAAAACCAAACGGGATAAGCATACTAAGAAAACCGGGTGAACTCAAACCCAACAAATGAGTCAAATAAAGCATTAAGTTACCGCATTCAACAAATGCTTAGATGGAACAGCAACAGACCTTCAGTGAGTCCATCCGAGGGAGAGGGTAGAGCGAGAGCTGAAGCGACGGAGGAAAGCACACTCTCGCTGTAAATACCCTGAGGCTTATTGATAGCAAGGACCCATTCGTCATCGTACAGAATGTCCGCTCTTGAAAGAACAAAGAGGCTGGATTTTGAAGAAGCAGACATGGCCCTCCTAATCTCAATTTGCTTTGAAATGGGGGGCAGCTGAGGGGACAGTGGCACGGGGTAATTTTGAGGGGTTATAGGATCAATTCGGGAATGAGCTTCGTCAACCATGGCGATGGTTGATTTGAGGAAAAGAACAATTTTGATTTCGAGAACCCGGTCGCAGACGACGACGATTTGGGGTTGAAAGAGTACCGATCGAATAGAAGGCATCTGGCTTTGTTGTTAACACGAATTTAGTTGTTAAAAAAAAAATTCTTCAACGGGCCCGAGACAACCCAAGGCCTAGGTCTGTAAAACGACATCGCCAGGGTGAAGGCCCAACGCCACCGGCATGCATCAATCACGGTAGTCTTTGAGGTGAAAGTAGATCAAGTCGTTGTTAGAGGCCTACTTCCGATTATGTTAAGCTTATTTATTAAATGAGTCAGTTCAGGTTTAAACCTTTGATTTGGAACATTTAAATACATAGGTCAGACCTATTTTTACAAATTCTAACTTATAAACCTTATAAACCATCATATTTACACGTATATTATTTTATAATATATTATATAGATATAATATATAATATATAATATTTAATTTAAATTTAACATTTTGAATATAATCAACTCCACCGCTTTCTTTAACTCTTTCTCATTCTTTTTTTATATCAAAACTCGAGAGCACCATATGGTTCTTCCTTAACTATTTTTTTATTATATTTTGTATGATATTTGTATAATATACAGATTTTCACCATTTTCTTTTAAAGCAATGTGTTCTTTTTCATTTTCAATTTATTGGTTGTGTTTTCAATTATATTGGATGTATACATGTATTGATTTCAAATGTGTTAGTGTTATAGTTGATAAGTCTTCTTGTTTATTATGTATTTTAGTTGACAGATCAGGTTTCATGTATATATAACCTTTAATAATCTCATAAGTCATATGAGACCTTTAAAGCTTGTTATGTTAGTATTGGATCCCATGGCACGAATGACATAGCATTAATGGCAACAAAGTTTGAAGATGGCAAGCATCGGCATGGTTTACAACACGTGGGAGATTCAGTGATAAGAGCTCGAATTAAAACCATGAAACAAGTCTTATTCAGTTTTGTCTAAGAAGTCTAAGAACTTGAAAAGCATTGGTGCACTCCTTTCAAGTTCAAGGGAGAGCGTTGAAGTATGTATAATGTGTTTAAAATTTAAATTCATAAAGAGTCTAGCTTAAAAGGTGCAAACCTTAAGCTAATGTAATGACGACTACAAGCAGAGCCTTTTGCAATCAAGAAGGTATGGAACTCTAGTGAAGAGGTCAATAATGGTGTGATTTTGAGTTTCTTATGATCCCTTAATTGTCTCCTTAATTATTTCCTAATTTAACGATCATTTGACTTGACTCCATTTTTTAAGGATGAAAACTAATTATAGTTTTTGATCTTGAGTATAGTCAAATATTAGAATTAATTATATTATTTTTTAAGCTTTGTAATCTCATAATTTTAAGACCACATCTCTTAAATTATGTGGCTAAATATTTTCTTATTTTTCTATTGTTTTTGTTTCCCTTTTAATATCAGAAAATTAGAGTTTTAATTTTAGAATATAGTTTTCTTTATTAGTCTATATGTATTAGGTATGCTCTCTCTTGTAAATAGAAGAGAAGTTGAAAGAAATTATTCATTTTAAAGTTTATAACTTTTATGAGCCCTAGTGCTTTGTGATAACATTTTATGTGAGTAATATACGTGATCAAAAGTGTGATCAACTTTTGTAATGTTTTTAAAGGTTGAGGTTCATAGGGACGGTTGATATTTTCCTTGATCATTATCTCATTATTTATTTTTTTATTTTCATCATAAATTTTGTCCATTTCTTTTTGTTATTATGTTTTTATTATGTTTCAGAGTTCTGTCTTTAAACTAGTACGATTCTGCTTTCGTGTTTTCTATTAGCAAGCTTATTTAAAAGGTTTATATTTAAATAAACTTCTAGACCAAGTTAAGTTTTAAATAGGGTTGAGGCTTGAGTTCAAAAAAATCATTATATATATAAAAGTAGGATTAAAGGCTGTGAGAGAATGCCACGTGTTCATTTTTAGGTTTATTGTAATTCTATACTTCGGGATGTGTTTCTTACAATTCTCTTGTCTCGAATCAGGTTTTGGGTTAGGTTCGAGATAGTTTATTATTTTTTTAATTTATACAAAATATATTATTTAGATTTGGAGTTGAATGTAGGATAAATTATTATTTTTTATATGTATTAAAAAATAAATTTTATCTATTTCAAATCCAAATCTAATCATATTTGAATTTAAATTAATACTTATGTATTTAAAATTTAGCAAAAAAATACATGTTTAAAATTTTCTGTCTATCCTCATGATTTTTGAAAATTTCAAAACACCCTAAATATTTGCCAAAAATTAAGGTTCATGCAATCAATCATATAATAAATTTGAATAAAAAATTATAGATATATCTTGGGTGATTTTTCAAAATTTCAATGATGTAACAAAGTGTATATATACCTATTTGAAATTCAAATAAATAATTTTTAGTTATGGGATAAAATATTACTAAATACTAAAATTTAAAATTTCTCAAAATAATTATTTATGCTAAATATGATTCAATTTTTTGAATAAATGAGTTAAAGGCTGCAAGAGAATGTCATGTATTTATTTTTAAGTTTGTCATAATTTTATGTTTTGGGATGCGTTTCTTACAATCCTGTGCTCTAAAATTAGGTTTGGGGTTAGTTTTGAGATGATTTATTATTTTTTTAATATATATAAAATATATTATTTAGATTTGGAGTTAGGTGTAGGATGAATTATTATTTTTTAGATGTATTAAAAAATAAATTTTATCTATTTCTAATCCAAATTTGATCATGTTTAAATTTAAATTAATACTTATTTATTTAAAATTTACAAAAAAGAATATGTATTTAAAATTTCCTATCTGTCCTCATGAGACCCTAAATATTTGCTAAAAATTAAGGTTCATGTGATCAATCATATAATAAAATTTGAATAAAAAATTATTAATATATCTTGGTGATTTTCCAAAATTTTAATCATATAATATAGTGTATATATATATCCATTTGAAATTCAAATATATAGTTTTTAGTTATGGGATAAAATATTACTAAATACTAAAATTTAAAATTTCTCAAAATAATTATTTATGCTAAATGGTACTTTAATTTAAAGCTTGATTCTATTTTGAATTTTAAATTTAAAATTACTCATGATAATTATTTATGATAACTATTGGTTATATTATATTAGCAATTTAAATTCAAATTTCTTCTAACACATATATTATACCAATTATAAATAAATGTGTTTGGTTATGATCTCATTTCACATTTCCAGCTTCAACTAATTCATGTATAATTCATGCTCCTTTTTATAAGGTAAACAAATTTTTGTGATTCATGAGACTATCTATTTGTTCATTGGTTATTCCTCATTGTTATAAATTTTTTTTGGCTTCTCCAATTTTTCAAGTAAATTGTTTGGTATACCACACCTATCCACAAGCATCTAACTCCAACATCTACACACTACTTGGTGATTATAAAGCTGACGCCGCTACAATTGGTAATTACACAACATTTTCCCTTACCTCTAAATTTTAGTCTCAATTTTGCTACAACTTTTCTTTGGTAATTGTCTCTAATTGGCATACATGAAAGGAGCCTAGAGATGAATTTGCTAAATAGGTGAATAATCTAACCCTGTCTTTAACTTTCATTATGGTTTGTATTAAATCTTAGTTAGCTCAAATTTTGTATTTTTCCTGACTATCTATATTTTTTTTTAGAATAATATCTAAGCCCATTAGGATATTGTAGTTCACATGATGGTAATAATATTCCATTGCAATATAGGTTTGCATCTCAATCCCTACAAACTAATATATAGCTACTAATTTTCTATTACCAAAATATGACATAGTTGGATGACAATTAATCTTTGGACTAAGACTCACCTAAAATTAACTACACTTGAAGGACCAAGAAGGCTCTATCAAGCAAGGATGCTCATGTAATTAGTCGAACAAGGAGCAAGGAGAAAGCAAAAGGCATAAGAAACAGCACAAAATCACTTTGGAGGCAACTTTGACCATTTGCTGCAACAAGAAGGGCAAGGCAAGAATGTTGACAATTTCATTACATGTTAAAGTCACCACTTGAGAGGTGGAAGGTCAAGCCACTAGATTAATGTTGTCATTTATATAACAAATGAAACTAATCTCGATCATACCTAATGACTAATTTGAAGGCAAATTAGGTGACAAACATTCAACCTCATGAGTGTTAATTGAAACATTCATGTCGTTGAATAACAGTATTTTTAGTTGTTTATAAATGAGGCAAAGGTGAATTTCAAGTCAAAGTAATTTCTCTAATGTTTTGGGTGTCTTTGCAATTTTTTACTTCGAAAGATAGTTTGTTTATTAATTTTTGAATTAGTTCAAGATGATATTTTAAATATATATATATATATATATATATATAATAGAGCAGTTAAAAGATACGTAGTTTCTAATTTTTAATTTTTAATTTTGAAAGATATGTAAAAAATGTAAATAACATTTTCTATTTAAATGGCAATATTTTTTAATTAGACAAAATGAGACAGGGTTAGATTTGATATTCTTCCTTGATTTTTATTTTTTAGGGTTCTTTTTTAGTGATTGCTTTTAAATTGAATTGAGGATTATGTGATTGATTAAAAAAATTAACCTAGGTAATTTGTTTTGATTTTATCGTAATTGCCTAAAACAATAATAACATCATCCTATATCAATCTAAAATAATTGATTATTTTGCATAAGTATAATCAATTAAGGTGTTACAAATATTAATATTAAAATTTAAATCTAAATATATTAGGTAATCAATTAAGATTTTTTTAATATTTTGAATTTTTTATTTCTATAATATGATTATGTGGTTTCAACGTTAATAATATACTATTTTTAAATTTAATTTTTTTAAAAAAATCTTTAAATAGTATAATCTAATATGTTGGGTTGGTTTCGATTTAATTTTTATATAATATAATTAATTTTTTATTTTTAAAAATTATATTTCTAATTATCTTCAAAAATCTAATTGTATAATCTAATTATTATTCATCTTGGGTTTAAGATTAGTAAATATTTTGATGTAAAATTTAAAGAAAAAATTAATCTTTTAATCTTTCAACTTTTATCTCACTTGTAACTCAGTCTCTCAACTATGACTCGTTGCGACTCAATCCTTCGACTATAACTCACTGCGACTCAATCCCTCAACTTTTGATTCATCTATAACCCGGTCTTTATTTTTTAATTTTTTTAAAAAATTTCTTATCAAATAAGAGGGATAAAAAATGCTCATATATTATTTTAAAATACCCTCCTCTTACTCATTGATGTAAGATATAAGCTAATATAAAAAAATTAATAAAAATTAAGGGATAAATTGTAAGTGATTTAAAAGTTGAATGACTGAGTCACAGTGAGTAATGATTGAGGGACTGAGTTACAAGTAAAAGTTAGAGGACTAAAAATTAATTTTTTTAAATTTAAATATTTAATCGAGATCAGTTAATATGCAAAACATTATCACAGTCATGTATCATTGGTAAAATGATTTTTCCAAATTAATCATATCTTCTAGAAGTATTTAAAATTTAGGTAAAACTGTAATCTGAGTATAGGATATTTTTTTATGAGATAATTTGAGTAGAATATGTTAATAATCATTTTGATCAACGTATTCAGTTATTTTAGATTTTCAACATAATGTATTTAACAATAAAAAGATTTTAGGTTTAAATTTTAAATTTTAAGATGGAGCAGTTAATAAACAATGATTAGATAAAATTTTTAATTTTAATTTAAATTTTTTTCTGTATAAATATTATCCTTGTTATGATTAAATGGTATGTTAGCTGCTATTTTATTCAAGCCAAAATTGTTAGAACGGTGAGTTTTCATAAACTTGTGTGGAGAGAGACGTGTTAATAAAATTTTAATAGTCAATAAATAAAGTATGTGGTAAATATGTTATCTTAAATTAAATAGTCAATAAAAATAATAAAATAAAAAATAATTATAAATAAAACATTTAAAATCAAGCATTCTTATATTAATTCTAATTCCATGCATTTCATTTTGAAAGTATGTTGAAAAAAATGATATTTTAAAATCTACTATGTTAAAACTAATTGCACAAAATCATATGAGAATTAAGAATAAGAGCAGTATTTAAAATTTCCTCCTTACATGTCTAGGTATACATAAAAGAAAATAACTTGTGACAATTTACAATATATAAAATATCAGAATAATAATAATTTATCCAACTAAATTCATAACCTCATGTGTTGTTCATAAGCAAAACTAATTTGAGGGAAAATCACTACGTATTTTTTTTTCCTAATATTAAGTAACTGAATAGAGGTTAATTTTAGAGAGAATTATCTTAAAATCCTCCATAAAAAAATTAATTATCACAAGGCCCATTAACAACTGAATTAAGGTCATTAACAACACAATAGCCTTAACTTAGTTATTAATGAACTTTGTGATAATTAATTTTATTGTTTAAGACTTGGATGTAATTTCTCCTTATTTTTATTACTTTCATGAATGGATGAGACCGAACATGGGGTTTATTTGACAGTTAAAAGTCAAAATAAAATCATTTGAAAATTGACTATGTGGATTGATAAAATACAATATGAATTATATTATGTAGTAAAAAAACAAAAATATAAAAAATAGGTACAAATCATTCATCATCGTACAATAGCTAGACTTGTAAGTAGGCTATTACACTCATGATAGTACGATAAGTTTGCAATTTTACTCATACTCACTACATACATACATACATACATACATACATACATAGATACATATATACATATATATATATATTCACATCTTCTAGAGTTTGTCACTGAATCAACATATAAAGAAGAGGTGCAACCACAAGTATATATATTTTTAGGTGTCAAAACAAGAATTTACCAACAATAATTCTAATCATATAGTATATCAATTAAATATTATTATTTCTATTATATGTTTAAATAGTGTTTTTTATATTAGCTGATCAAATAATATATTCATTAATTTAATGATAATTCTTGTTAATTAATAATTTTATTTAATTAATAAATATTGTGATTTGAAATTCAAATATTGATTCAAGATTAGTTAACAGTGGAAAAAATGGCCTATTAAATATGTGAAAAATTCTCAAAGTTGTGTATCTTTGAAAAAAAAAATGAATTTTCCAAAATTAATCATATCTTTTAGAAGTATTTAAAAATTTTGAAATACTATAATTTGAATAAGATAAGTTAATAATATCAATCAATATACTCAACTATTTGGATGGTCAACCTAAGGTAATCAATAATAAAAATGCTTCAGTTTTAAGTTCCAATTTTTAAGTACAATAACTTAAAAGAAAGATGACAATAAAATTCCTTTAAATTATGTAAATGATATTTTGAGTCTCTCAAAATATTATAATTCTCTTAAAGTTTTTAGAGACTTTTTTGTCCTTAAAGAATTAATGTAAATAACCACATTGCTCTTAATTCGAATATCAATTATCATTCACAAGTTTTGTTTGAAGATTCAAAACTTTTTTTTTAAATCACAAGAATTCAACAATAATTTAAGTTTGAATTAAAGACAATTTAGTCGTTTATGTTAATTTCTTAATGATAGAAAATGCCCTTAGAACTTCAAGGAAATTATGACATTTTGAGGGATCAAAATCTCATTTACATAATTCAAGAGATTTTGTTATTATTTTTCCTAACGTAAAATTTTAATATTTAGTTATTCGATATTATTGATAGTATTAATTCAAAGTTTCCTCTTGCATAGATATTACACCAATTATAAATAGATGGTATGGGTCTATCTATATCATTTCACACTTTCAGCTTTGATTAACATCTATAACATTAACAAATCTATTTTGTCTATGCACTTTCGCTGATGCTTGTACTATTTTGTATTTATCCATCTTTCTTTTTATAAGCCTTTAGTTATATATAGGATGTAATGTTTCACGTGTATAATTAGACGTTGGTATTATGGGGGTGGCACTCTTTTAAAGGTCAATAGCTCAAAAACATGTTCAAGACTAAATAGGTGGTTATGATTTTTCCACAATGTGACAATGTGCATGATCATGCAATCAACAACTCAATTGAGGTAAAGAATTTGTGTAGTATGGCATTTGCTTTAGATGGCAGTGATGGTAAACTTATATCGAACATAGTGAAACATGTGATGATGAAAAAATAAACATGCATGATGTGTAGTTTGTTTATGTTGTGTTTCAATTAAATGTCTTCTTAGATTCATCTATTAGTGTTTTTCATGATATGTTTTCTTCATTATTTTTAAGTACGTGACCAAAGAACATGATAGGGTTACAGTTGCATTTTATATTTATTCATGTGATCTAACTATTAGAAGAATCCATGATGATAAACATATATCCTGAATTTTCTTAACAATGTCTACAATTCTTATATTTTAAAAACAAGGCTATCTTAGCCCTAATATTTGTTATAGTTGAAGACATAAATAAGTACATGTTGTCTCTTTTCCCTAAAGAAAAAGTTGTATACTTGAGTTCTTATAGTGTTGTAAAAGATGATTGGGATATGAATTTACTTAATGACTTGTACCCTATAGACTTTTTTAATTCAATTATAATGACAAACCTTTTAAATCATGAAACAAGGCTGAAAGTTGGTGCCGCAATTATTTTAATATAGAATAGTGATAAGTTTATGGGATTACATAAATGTACATGTCTCATAGTTTTACAAATTGGAAAACATGTTATTGAGGCTCAATAATGTCTAGGTCAACTGCAGGGACAGAAGTATACATACCACATATTGCTATGTGTTCATTTGATTTAGGTTACTATTTACTATAAGGAAGCTATTTTCCATTATGTTGGCATTTGTAACCATCACTAATAAAAGCCATGGCTAGAACTTGTGCCATGTCAATTTGTACCCAATTCGTCTTACTTTCATCCATGACCAGTTATATTTTGCTATTTCTTGTGTTTAAAGTAAGGAGGGTTTAAAAATATTGGTTTTTGATAAAGGTGATTGATCCATGGATAGAACTTCTAATGTTATTTATAGGAAAGTTTTTGAGAATTTGATAGTTAACCTACTTTTCATTGAATCCATTCGCATTGTTTATATTTATTTTTTACCATCCATTTTCTTAACCTTAATATGCATATTTAAAATTAAAGACAGTAATTATATATCCTTATTATGTATAAGATGATATGGAAAGGTATTTGTTATAAGTTATTTTTTTTAAGATTCTTATAAAATTAACAATATAAAAGTTACAGTATAAAGATCCGTGCATTGCACCGATACTTTGCTAATTCTTACGTAAGTTAGGCTAAAGTTTTTGACATACCGTACAGACTCACCCATTTTACCGCAACTTAGATCGTCTGGCCATTTTCCACGTCTTCAATCTTTATCGGGCAGAAGAGAACACGGAGAACACGATAAACCCTGACAAACCCCTTGAATACAGAAGCAGCATGTGTATATGAAGTCTATTTCCATACAGGAAAGCCCCCTAGTCGCCTTACTTTCACTTCGATCTTGGACGAAGTTATGTCCAATTTCCTCCAAATTTCGTTGAGAAAGTCCAAATTCAGTGCTCGAAGACCGCGAATTTTGCACCTCTTTTCTCCTGAGTTTTCAGCGTTCCTACACAAATTTGCGGGGAACCCATCCCACTCGCATCAAATTATCTCTCCTTCAAGCTGGTTCTGGGTCGGTTCTAATTCGTTTCGAAATGCCAATTCCTCTTATCGGAGCCACCATGGCCTGGTCTTCGCCTCACGGATTCATTTCTGGGGTTCCCAAGCGGCTTCTGAACAGTCAACTTCAGATGGGCTAACGGTGGATGGAATTCTAGCTAATAATTGGACGATTCTAGACGAGAATGAAGGTGATTGGAAGAGTCATGCGGCTGCGGTGGCTCAATCTATTCATTTGATTAAACGGCGCCTACAGGTGAGGTTTCAAATTCGATCCCCAAATTCCAATTTTCGTTCTATATAACAAGCTCATTCTAGTTTTCTTTTCCTCCGGCGGAAATTAGGTAATAACTTATTGATTGTTGTTTAGGGGCTGTCATCTCACTGAGATCATACTTGGGATACCATTATGTGATTGAAAGACCTTGATTATATGTTATTTGTTGCACGCTACAACCTGTGTAAATTAATTTCTGTTTGTTCTGGCAGTGGAGAAAATTGATGGTCAGGTTGGATTTCTTATCTGCCGAGCTTAATAAGCCTGATCTTTGGGATGATCCTGTGCATGCAAGTAAAATAAGCCGTGAGCATGGTTCACTCATAGGAAAAATGAAAGAGGTGAATGCATTGGAGCAAGAACTACTAGAGAATATTGACATGATAAAACTTGCTAGAGAGGAGAATGACGAAGATTTGGAATCGGTGGGCACTTGCTTCTACTCGTAGGCATGTATACATCTGCTTTACCACTGCCACCGGAGTCTTGCATGTGTGTGCTACACTTAATAATCTGAATCATAATTACATTTCATCCTGTGTACCAAGTGTTGTGAAAAATAGAGAATAATGACTAAAAAGTAAGCTTATGAATGACAGTGACGACTCATCAAGTCATAGCGTGTAATTTTGTAATTTGTTTATGAGATGTGCAAGAAGAAACTGGATATTGAACATTATATTAGAGTTTTGGAGGATTCATTTAACTGAGTTATGTAAGTTGAAGGAAACAGGCATCATTGTCATATATTTCAAATACAAATGTGAGGTTTTTTATGTGTTGCATGGGCCCTTTCTCACTAGTAAATGCCGTTCTTTTAATTCATGCAGAGGCTCCCTCCTTTTGCAGGAATCAATGAAAGCACTCCTTAACATGAGAAGAAATTCAAAAGAAAAGGAGCTCAAGGCATTGCTTGCTGGGGAGCAGGATTTATGCTCTTGTTACATTGAGGTTGTTCTCTAAGAACACGATAATAAGTCATCTTTTTCCATCACCAGCATCAGTAGTTCAAGGAACATGAGCTGTGCAGACTGGTTAATGCATTCCTATTAAAGTTTGTTGTTTTATCTTTTAATATAGGTTCAGGCTGGAGCTGGTGGTACTGAGAGCATGGACTGGGCTGCAATGGTCATGCAGATGTATAAGTCCTGGGCCCAGGGACGTGGATATAAAGTAACTGCGGTAGAAGAAATGCCTGGTGAGATTGCAGGAATCAAGGTTCTCCTTCTTGCCATCATTCATGAACTCAAACAAATTTTGCGCTCAGTTGTTGCATGCTTGTGATGTCTCAAAGCAACTTTTAAGTAATTATGGTTTTTGATTTCTGAAGACCTAGTGTAACTTCTTATCGAGCTGCATCGAAGGCTAACCTGGGGTTTTATTTTCTATTCAGGGACCGCTAATATTTCTCCCTCTTAGGCCTGTAGTCTGTTGCCTTCCTTTCACATGAATACAGTTTCTTTTCTTTTTTAAAATGGACACACATATTACCCACGCGCCTATAGGTGGGAATTGAGCCCGCAACCTTCCTTCTATCAAGAAGGATTTAGTGCCATTATGACATCAAGCTTTTGGCACAAAAATACAGTTTATACTGTTCAGAACCGTTATTGAATCCATGTAATTTGATTTTTCAGCGAGCAACAATTAAAGTAGATGGTGACTATGCATTTGGGTATGCCAAAGCAGAAGTAGGAGTGCACAGGCTGGTGCGCATATCACCTTTTGACAGCAACAAGCGGCGGCATACTTCATTCGCTGCTGTAGCAGTGACCCCAATCCTGGGTGATGCATCTGCTCATGTGCAAATTAATGAATCTGATCTTCGAATTGAACGATTTCGTTCTGGGGGTCCTGGTGGTCAGCATGCTAATACAACTGAAAGTGCTGTAAGAATAGTTCATATTCCTTCAGGAATTGCTGCCGTTTGTCAGAATGAAAGGTAAGTAGAATTTGTGCACGCTTAATTGATGCTCATACAATGCTTATGGAAGTGTCACTCTTGCATTTTTAAGCCTGATTATGGTTCACAAACAGATCACAACATCAGAATAAGGCTTCAGCGATGGCTGTGCTTCAGTCTCGATTAGATCAACTGGAGATGGCACGCCAGGCACAGTTGAATGCCCAGCATTCACAGTCCCTTACAGATATAACTTGGGGCAACCAGATACGCAGTTTTGTGCTCCATGTACGGTTTGGAATAGCATCTGCCTTCTATTTAATTTACGTATCAGAATTTGATGACCTGAGCAGTTTGCTCAATTTGTTCTATTATGATACAGCCTTACCGCATGGTGAAAGATCTTAGGACGAATTATGAGGTTTCAGATCCCGATTCTGTGCTTGAGGGGGACCTTGATGGCTTCATTTTGAGCTATTTATCAGCCTGCTTGGATAAAGATGAGGATCGTGCTTGAGTCGATTTCCTACATTTTGGCGGCACCGTCCGCCTTTATGTATTTAGTGTTGAAACATGTCATGGTTAGGCAATTTTCAGAGGAGATTTCAGTTGTCATCAAGGGTTATCACGGATGACGTACTGGACAAGAAGCAAGCGTTTCTTCTTTATTTTTGGTACTTGCCTAAACTTTATTTATTCATGAATGAATGGAAACATTTACTTTTCTATCCAACACTGCATATTATATCCGAAGTTCAAAAGCTTGTTTATCATTGACTCGCACGGCTATTACAATATCCGGATTTCTGTTCGCCCATTATAAAGCTTCTTTTTAGAAAGAAAATAACTGGAGCTTTTCCTCTGGCATATATTTCATTCCATATGACAGATTCTAAACTACATCTGGTCCTCTTTTTCTTTTGAAATTTAAATGGCTAGTGTAGCACATACTCCCTTCGTTTATATATGTATTACATATATATAAAACTATACCATACAATTTAAAAAAATTAATTAATCATAACAATTATATTTAAAAATAAAAAAGTTAGATTAAAATGCTTTATATTAATTAATATAAATATATATTAATTATTTTTTGTTAATGTAAATAATGAGAGATGATATAAAAAATGTATAATAAATGTTTATTAAAATGAGTGATTTTATTTATATAAAAAATAAGTAAAAAGTGATAATTAAAATTTAAATCGGATATATATTATCAACCACTGTCCGGTTGAAGTTATGGAGTTGCTTTACATATTTGTATTTTTAATAGAGTTTAGCTAAATTCAACATTTTTAAATTTTAATAATCATATTAAATCATGTTAACTTTTTAATAATGAACTGTTTCAAGTAAAATAATATGAACTAGAAACAAATTTTTGTCACCATTATAGCTAAATCATACCTATTCTTTCATGCATTGTACAGAATTTTAAAAATAAATCGTTCATAATTTATGAAGACATCAAAATATATGACCAAGATATATTTTTTTATGGCACAGCTTTTTTGGCCAGAAATTTTCTTACGGCATTATTAGAATGTTTCTCTTTAAACATACTAACAGAGGAAACACATTCCTATTTCCTCAAATAAATACATTCTTGTTACAATTGAATATATCAGTTGGAAAAAAAATGTGCTTCATACAATCCCAGAACAGAAAAGTCAGCAAAATATTGAGAGCTGATGGAGTCCAAAAATCAGGCTGAATCCTGCAGCAGAGTAAAGAATTTTTATCTGACGAACCTTCAGTTGTGAGACTTAACGTTCTATCTCCGGCAAGAGTAGCATCACTTGCTAGCTCTGCTCATGGCCAAAAGCCAAGTCAAATATCTGCATGTAATCATCAACAAAATGAACATCGAGGCCTTCTCTCACATTAGGAGCCAGCTCATCAAAATCTCTCCGGTTAGCTGAAGGGAATACGATGGTTTTAACTTCACTCCTTCTAGCCGCGATAGTTTTCTCCTTAACCTGGAATTTTCACAGAATGAGTTTCAAATTCGGAAAAACATGAAAGGAAGAAGTAACCATCTCAAAATACAAGGGGGAAAGAAAAGCTTCGAGAGACTTTCCATATCTCGAACACTAGTGACAGCTAAAAAATGTCCAGAAAGTTACTGAAACAAAAGGGCAAGAATATGGCCGTATTGTTTTCCTCAACATACCCCGCCAATTGGGAGGATCTTTCCAGTAAGCGTCACCTCCCCAGTCATTGCTAGATCCTTCCTCACGGGCTTTCTCATGGCAAGGGATAAAAGTGAAGTAATCATTGTGCAACCCGCACTTGGTCCATCCTTTGGGGTGGACCCAGAAGGAACATGGAGATGAAGCTTTGCATTTGCAAAGAATGAGTTCTCTGGCTCTTTTTCCGCTAATATGGCTCTGGCAACTGTGTGAGCAATCTGAGCACTTTCTTTCATGACATCTCCTAATTGACCAGTGAGATGCAGCGCACCTTTTCCCTCCCCTTCCTCAACGCGAGTAGTCTCTATATACAGCGTGGAACCACCCATTGCAGTCCAGGCAAGACCCATGACAACCCCGATGGGTGTCTGGTCATAGATGCGTTCAGCATGGAAGACAGGTTTGCCAACAAAGTCCGGTAAATTGCATTTATCAACCAAGACCTTTTGAGCTGTCACGGTTGATTCACTTTCCTGATCTTTCTCACTTTCTTTTTTTCCCTGTATAATCCCATGAAATTCAAATGAGAATCAGTGACTGTTGAATTCTGGAGAAAATTTGCTCAACTTATGGAATAAAGTCTTCTGCGAGGAAAAGCATCATATCAGAGAACGAAGTAGTGCACAAACGGTATTACAAGAACAGAAGAGACAACTGACAAGAAAGAGATCATTGTATGATTGTCACTTTTCACCAATACGTGGTGGGTCTCTGTTTCTGGCAGAGCCAACTTCATAATTGGTGGATGAATTAAAGAAACAAATCCAGTTATGACTCTCAAATTTTAACAGTACCTCTAGGTCTGCAGCTTGATTGGAAGGGCATTCAGAGTGATCAGCTGGTGGTTCTGTTTGCTCCTTGTCAACCTCTATAGAGGTTTCACTCATTTGTTCTTGACCACAATTCTCTACTAACCCAGCATTTTGATTTCCAGCTGCATTTTTATTCAAATCCTGAACATCAACTTTGGCTTCTTTAGGTTCAATATCCTGAGCACTAGCTGCAGCAGGTTCAAGTTTTGCTCCCTGCCTCACGATTTGCAGTGCTATCTGTCATAAGATTAATATCTGATATAGTCATGACTGAAAGCACCAGGTCTAAGAACAAAGAGAAGCTCGATTCCAATGAACAAAGCTACAAAATCTATCTACAAAACCATTCATGAGATGGGTCACTTTGTAATAGCTAGAAGTTCACAATATTGACCTAAAAATAAATATTTTTAGACCTTCCGGTATATTTTCTCAATATGCTTTTGGAGATTCCTGACCCCTGCTTCCCTGCAGTAATTCTCTATCAAGGCAAGAAGAGCAGCATCAGTAACTTCCACCTGGAGCAAAATTGTTTTTGCAGTTAATTCTCAGTAAATGAAACTGATATCATCAAGCTTTCTATGACTAAACTTCAATATAATCTATTCCTTTGCAAGGAAAGAGGGACAAAGTGGGTGAAGAAATATACTTGTTCAGGTTTTATTCCACATGCTTCACGTGTAGTCTTCTCCAAATAATCTCTTGCAATGTGCATTTTCTCATCAGTAATATATCCAGCAATTGCAACCACCTCCATTCTATCTAACAAAGGATTAGGTATCATTTCCACTACATTTGCAGTACAAACAAAGAGAACCTGCAGTGAGTTTTCCAATGCATGAGTCATTATGGTCAAAACATTTGCAATATGCCCAAATTCTCATCATCAGTAACACCTGAATCCCTTGTAAAATACACAAGTAAAACCATGCACAAATGTTGAATCTTCTATAACCTAAATACTCAGGCTCCAACACATCGAATACTGACCTTTGATAGATCAATTGGAACATCAAGATAGTGATCTAGAAAATTAGCATTCTGCTCTGGATCCAGAAGCTCTAACAGTGCACTTGCTGGATCACCAGCATGTCCCCGGCCCAACTGCCAATCAAGCAAGACAATTGAATTACCAAAACCATCTTGCTTTTAGACACAAATAATTAATGAAACTGAAATTTCTGAGATTTTTAAGGGTCAAATTCGACCAAATCCAAATGGCGAATAGAACTGACATACTTAAAACTAATCAAACGAAATCAACTGGCTGCAAACAAAATGAGCCTAATAGCAACATATTACTTTGTCAATCTCATCAATCAAAACTAGAGGGTTGGCTGTTCCCACATTCTTAAGGCACTGCACCATCTTCCCTGGCATAGCACCAATATAGGTTCGACGATGGCCCTGTCAGATAAAATAATTAGTGAAAAGGACCATACGCCACTACCACAGAACAGAGTTGTAGGGTATAAAGAGACATTAGCTACCTTGATCTCAGCCACATCTGCTAATCCTCCCACAGAGAATCGGAAAAACTTACGATTCAAGGCACGTGCAATTGAACGACCAATACTTGTTTTACCCACTCCTGGTGGCCCAGAAAGGCAGATGATTTTCCCTGCATATATAGGAGAAAGATCAGGGGCATGTTGTTACCAAAGGCCCTCTACATAAGTGAGCTTAAAATGAAACTCCTATCAGTGTTAAAAAAAAAAAAACCACTTGTAAGAAGCAGCAGCAGAATAGGCACTCTGTGCAAAAAGTCTGATGCCCCAAGTTCTAATACTGGACCATCATCACAGAGCAATGGCCAACCGAATTAATTAAGCAAATTATATGCTCACTCTACACTACACATCAGCACAAAAGCATTATTTTGTTCAGTCAAAAAATTATTTATACTCCATATCAACAATTCCTGACATAAGCATCAAACATCAAGATATATAGTGATCTAATTCCACCATTTGAAACTAGAAAGCACATAAACATGTTTCAAGAGGAATTTGCAAGTGCTAATACCATGCACACCCAACTTAAGGATGAAGTAATCAATGTTTAGCATAGCATTAGGTAGACAATTGGGGATGGACCAAGAACCTGGTAGAATTTTTTTTTTTTTTTGGTTTGGGTGTGGTGCACGAAAGACAACATGAAACTTTGGGGGGGGGGGCCTAAAATAACCTGAGAAGCATGCCCATCTTAAGAGAAAAAAATCTGCTCAAGATTAAGACATGAGCTAAATTCATGCTCCCTGGATCAGGTTCGAGCCTGCCTGGCATGACCAGATTATTTTAAAAATACAGCCCCGTGGGGGGCTAGGGACACAGTTCATATTTTACTGGAACATAGAAACCTCAACATTAACCCCTTCATCCACAAAATAAGAAACACATGGTTCAATAGTATGAAAACAAACAATGATTTACCTTGTGAAGTCCCTCTTAGCTTGCCAACAGCAATGAATTCCAATATCCTTTCCTTCACATCAGATAATCCGTAATGGTCTTCGTCGAGAATCATTTGTGCCCCAATTACATCAAAGTTTTCATCACTTGATTTGCAAATTAACAAATTGAAAATCGGATTAATGGGAACTTTTAGTGACCATAAAAAGCCATAACCTTCCAAAACTTAACAACTGAAATAAAACATTAAGAGTAAAAATAATGTACAAAAAATAATGCAGAGAGCAGGAGGATACCAAAACTCAATCA